TAAATCAGAAACATATTAACTCACATTTACAAGATTAAAACAAAATAAACAGTAAGGTCTTTCTCACAATTCTTGAGCATATTACAATGTCTGGCCCATATAAGAGGTTCAGTAAGTGTTTATTGGTCATACATAAATAAATAGTCATATCAGAGAAAAGAGACTGATAGTAGACATTAATCAATGTCTACCTCGCAGCTATTGAGTTATAAACTTGCAGTATGCCCAGGGAAACAAGTATGTCCAGCACATGACTTCTTCCATGCTTTAAAAAGCAGTCTATGTAATTCGTTATGTGCCTTTGGCTAAGTTGGATCCTAAAAGAGTGTTTTACAGGTGTTCTGTGTATTAACACTTATGATAATAGCCATATACTGACATTTAATGAAACATATTCCTTACTGTTTCACCAGAAACCGACATCTTAAAAATTATTTCTGGTGACTATATTGTTGGGGTGATATTCTGCCAAAGCAACCTACCAACCCAAACTCTTTGGTAGTCATTCCTTTACTAGACCAAATATAAACTGGAACAAAATACACTGTGAGGAAACCGTGGTGGGAATTAAGCAGAGAATCCTAGTATCTTGTCTAGTTGAAGAGGTGACCACGCAGTTCAGATTTTCTGTTTTATGCTTAAGCCTACTGATTCAGACTGCCATCTCAGCATATCAGCCATAAGAAGTTTTAGGCTAATTGCCTATTTGACTTCCCTATTAAAACTGAGGAAATTAACTTCCCACACTTACTTCACTTTCCTTTTGTACTACATGATTTCTTCATACACATTTTACTCACCCTGACCAAATCAGGGCTGATTTGGGAACTCCATTCATTCAAGGTCTTTTGGATACAATCTCGAAGCTGCAAAAGGAATGTATTTTGAAACTGTTAATCAAACTCTGAATTTTTTTTCTGCATGTCTATGGTAAGAATGTTTTAGTTTGATAAGTAGGAAAAATGTCAATAGGAAATATACAAAGCAAACGTAAATTCCACAAGGTTTTTGTTTTCTTCAACAAAAATTAATTTAGATCTGTTCTTATCCGACTGTTAATTCTCAAATGTTGATAACCTAAAGCAGTAATCTAATTACTTTAAAAGTGTTTCTAAACCAATCAAAATTTAAGTAAACTTGAGACATAAAAGCATTCATAAAGAAACAAAAAAAATTCAAGAATAAAGTTTATAAATAGAGGAACATGGGTTCGTGCCCAAGCAGCCTGACTGGAGTATTAACCCCTATGCTATATTCTTCAAAGACAAACACATAATTCTCTAAATGAGGCCAGAGGAACTCCTGTATCAGATTCACCTATGGTGTTTATTAAAATTTAAATTCCTGAGCCCCATCCTAGGCCTGCTTAATCACTCTACAAGGGCAGAACTTCTATTTTAACAAGCAGCCCAAGTAATCGATATGTAACCTAAAGTCTGAGAATCACCACAGTCATATCCTACAGAAGTTAACTTGCATAATGTCAGTCCATGTCATTTGCTAACACTAGATACACCTCCAACCTGTCTTCAACCTGTTTTCTTATATAAACCAAAAAAATTTTTACACTATCGCGTATATTGCAACTAACATTAAGTACATCGTAAATTCATTAAAGTGTTTATTCATCTTTTATCTCTTATATCAGTATATTTCAAACTTATTTGATAGTGGTCCAAAGTAAGACATATATTCACAGAGTGAGTGAGAACCTACATACATATAACAAAACAAAAAATTTATAAAATGATATTTATGTTCACTATATGCTAGGCACTCTGATGGCTTCAATTCTATTAATTAGAAAAAACATATTGTTCCATGACTTACTAAACTGATTTATGACTACTAATGGGAAAACTAGCAGTTTGAAATCACTGCCTTATAAATATCCAAGGGCAGGTAGTGCTTTGCATTCTGTGGACAATCAATGAAAAAAAAATAAATGAGTAACTAGAAGCAAGCTCCTAAGTTGCAAAAGCACTTTCCTAATGTCAACAACAGAGACTAAAATTCTGAACTCACTATCTGATCTATGATTGCTTATGATAAAAACTGATATAAGTACTTTACTATAGATAATTACAAGGGACAGCTGGTTTATCAATTTAAGAGCTCTGAGTCACCTAAGTTAAGCTTTATAATCCACACAATAATTTATGTTATTTACAATAACCCACATGAATTCAATATACAAGGTCTACATCTTTATGAAAAATACATTTATAATCAAATCTAAGTCAGTAGATAAAAATTAGTTGGAAATCATTCCAGACAGAATTACAAGTCAATATTCTTTTAAAAATTAGTAAAAGTTGAGGCAGCAGAAACAATGGAAGTTAACAATTCTATTAGGAGTGCTTTCACTCTAATCCTGGGAGAATTCGAAGAAATTTTCTTCTGGAAGGATGGCTCATTTATAGTTAAGGCTTTCCTTGTGAATTCCTCAATTCAGGAAGATAAATATACTTTCAGAGTATTTACCCCTTTCTTGAAACAATTTCTTTAATTAATCTTGGATTCTGCAAAATGTCAGAAAATATCATAGAACAGTCCAATGCTACAATAATGAGAAATTCATTGACTATATCACAAACCTAGTGATTTTTCATCTTTTATATATTATCTGTATCGACTAAACATTAACCTTGAACTTTTTTGTGTTATGAGCCCGTACTCTAACCACCTGAGCCAACTGGCCACCCCCTATACCTTGAACTTTTTTGTTCTCTACTCTCTTCATTCTTATCACACACAGTCACTGAAGATAAGTATCATCATAATGCAGTGTATTATTAAATCTGGGGTTAAGTTTTAAAAATACCACATGATTCAACTGGTCAAATACCCTCACAACAAATAACTGGGTAAAACAATCCTATAATGGCACATTAAAAGAAACAGATTTTATGTCATAAAATTCTAGTGACACAAAAGATCTGGGCAGAGATCATAGAATAAAAACAAACAACGAGGGCCGGCCAAGTGGCGCATTGGTTAAGAGCTGGCTTGGGACGCCAGAGGGCCCNACATTATTGTACACAATTAAGAAATTAAATTTTAACAAGTAGCAATTCAAAATAAAAGCTCGTAATCAAATTATATAAATGAAAATCTGTCTTACCTTTTGGATCATTATGAGTCAATAGCTGTATGTCAAATTGTTTAGCAAATGCAGTCAAATCGGGTGGCATCACACAGCAGGAGGCAAGATTCACTTGGTTACTATTTGGTTTTACCTATAAGTAAAAAAAACCCCAACAAACCCCAAATCATGACATTGCCACTAAATTAAACACTACAAAAAGGAAAAAGCTATAAAATGACTCAATTTTAGAAAATTTGAAATATCACATTCTACAATGTTTAAAGTTTATAAAATACTTTTACATGACTATATTTATTAATGTATTCTTTTCTAACTCATGTTAGCAGTAACAGGGACAGGAAAAATAGCTCTAGGAGGGGGAAAAGCCAATATAGTACTACACTATTAAAAAGTCTCTTGCTGGAACCTGCAATCTAAATAATACATCTGCCTCAGAAACAAACTTGATTGTGAGTGATGGTTCTGGCTACATAGGGAATATCTCTTAAAGGCAGAGGATCAAATACAAATGATAATCACATTTAATGTTAAAGTATAAAATATGGTTATTAATAGCTCCTCTGGCTAATTATATGTACATCTGTATCACCCAAGTCTCTTCAGCAGGATCTTAGCCACATTCTGGCTACCACAAAGTCAAAGGAAGAAAGGACAACATTTTCTATATTTAGGGTCTTCCTGTCCATAAGAAATTGAAAGCTCTGAAAAAAACAAGGCTGGAAAATAAATAAAAATACAGAGTGTAAGGGCAAAATACTACTAAGCAACTTCCCTAATAATTTGTAGATTATTAGGCCAGACAGTGGGCGGTAATTTATGACATTTACTCCATATCAAGTTATATGAACTAAGTCTTATATATCTTTAAGTAACAGTTGGCAAAATATTTGTTATATATGATATTCCCTTACTTAGAAAACTGCAACCATGGCCTAATAATACCTAAAGAAAAATGTAATATTTTTTATCACAAAAGTTAAACTGAAGGAAATAGCCTTAATTCACTTGGCTATGAATCTTTTAATACACATTTCCAGTGTTTTTGTCACTCATTCTAAATTAGATTAATATTAAGTTCAATTAGACATATATTTGAGAAAAAAAATCCAAGGCTGTATATAAAGCCTGCCTCAAAACTCTCACATTTGGAGGTCACCCCACAGTCAGTGTCCACTACGTGCATGGTGCTCAACAGTACACAGCAAAGACTGTAAAGACAGGCCCCTCCCAGAGTGCCCGTGATCTAGCTGCCCTTTACCTGGGCCCACTGATACAGCTGTTCCAATTGTGTTTTGTCTAGATCAGAGGTACCTATAGCAACAATCTTTTTACTCTGAACTAAGTTTTCTAATTCCTCCCAGTAAGGCTGCAAGTGCTCCAAGGAAAGACTAACTCCATCTTCAATAGGAGGTGAAGCAATGATCACAGAATCCAGTTGTGCAACTCCAAGGACTGAACAGGCTGATGTGAAGGAAAACACAAAGAGGATGAATGTTTGTTACATAATAAAAACAAGTATTTCTAACGTCCTTCAAGCATCCCACTGAATTCTGTCCATAATGTTCACTAGTTTTCTATATAACAGATTATTTCAGTCAGCTTTGTAATCTACCTGCCATTTAGAATATTTCCATCTGTTAAGAAAGTATACGTGCTCATTCATCTACTTAGTCTGTGTGGGTTTCTTTGACCCGCCTCTGGGGAACTGACAGCTACTATAGATAGATAGGCTCTTTCTTGGGGAATAGGCCTCTTTTTGTAGGCCCCAAGATTTTCGGGTAGCTTCCTTATCTTTGTAACATTTTCTTCTCTAGTTCTCTAGTATTTCATATGGATGATCACAAGAATGCTGACCTAATATTCTGTAATTGGTAGTCATAGCAAAGAATAAGCTTGAGACTCTGAAAAACTGAATTTATGGTCTATATTTCTATATTATGGTCTATATTTCTATAAGTTTATAATCTATATTTACAGAGGTAGAAAATTTCTATAAAAATAATTTGAGTTTATTTTTAATGATTATTGTTCACTCTACATTTACATTAAAGAGCTAATTCATAATTTAACTGTTTAACATACATAAACACTGGAAGAACGTTTTAAAAGAAAAAAATACTGACTAACTGTAATACCACAATAACCTAAACCAAGTACTGAAAATAGACAAAAATGCTTTGCTTCTTTGTTGCTGTTTTTGGTATTTCATCTATAATAAGATTAAGGATATGATTAAGAAGAATTTCTATCTCCATATATATATAGTTAACATTTAATTATGCTACATCTTTTACATTCCTTTTATATATCAAAATATAGCCCTACATAAGTTGATATGATTCTACAGAGGCTGTAAGAAATTCAGCTAGAACTTTAAAGGTAAAATAGGTACGAGCTCATTTTCTTTTTTATGTGGACCTAAACACAAGATATAATTAATACACCTACACTAATTTAAAGTCCACAATGAAGATAAAAAGTTAAATTTTTGCTTACCCATGTCAATTGCATTTCTAGTTGATGATGAAGAGTTTGATCCTACAATGAACAGTTTTGCTGGGTAATAAAGAAAACAGAACTGATTACATTTGGGTAACATTCTACCATACAGTGTTAACACTGTTAACAATACTAAGATGACGGACAACCCTGAATGAATTATTTCTTCTTTCCTACTCACATAATTTTACAGTTTCCATTTTAAGACATAAAAGAATATTTCCATTGTAATTAAATTATATGCTAACTGCCAATAAATATGTTTGTCAAAACAAAAAAGCAAACACTAATTT